CAAGTGCCTCAGTGCGGGGAACCGTGGAAACCAGCTCAGAAAACCACCCGGTGCCTCGGCACTCTACCACAAAGGAATCTCCCAGTGCATTAGCAGAAAGGAGGGAGGCAGCACTGCAAGGGGCCCCAGGCAGATAAACACCCTGCAGCACCCATCTAAAAGGAGCTGAAGAAAGCTAAAGGAAAGGAAAAGCAGGCAACCTAGAATTGCCTGAAAGTTCCAGCCTTGCTGATTCCAGCCCAACACAGGTAAGCTGCCAAAACCCTACAGCCTCCAATTGCCAACATAAGAGGCCCCAGCACACAAAGCCAGTGACCAAGACCTAGGCTCCCAACACAAGAAGCTTGGGTCAGTGCCCTCTGTTCCCCAGCAGGAGAGCTCAATCTCTTTAAAGGCCAGGGAATAAAGAAACACCATGAGTAAAAAGAAACGTTCCATAGATTCATATCATGAGAAGAGTGAAGATCAAGACAGAAATTCTGAAGAGGACAACATTGTCAACAAACCCACATCTGCAACATCAAAAGGGAATATGAACTGGTCTGAAGCCCAAAAAGCCTTCTTAGAAGAGCTCAAGAAGGATTTTAAAAGTCTAATGAGAGAGGTAGAAGAGTCCTTAAAAATACAATTGGCCAATTGGAAAAAAAGTACACTGAAGAAAACAAGTCCCTAAAAAACACAATTGGCAAACTGGAAAAAAAAGTACACTGAAGAAAACAAATCCCTTAAAAATACAATTGGCCAATTGGAGAAGGAAGTACAAAAACTAACAGAAGAAAACAATCTGTTAAAAACTAGAATTGGACAAATGGAAACTAATGACTCTATGAGAGAGCAAGAATCAGTCAAACAGAAACAAAAAATGAAAAATAGATGAAAACATAAAATACCTCATGGGTAAAACAACTGCCCTGGAAAATCGATCCAGGAGAGACAATTTAAAAATTATTGGACTACCTGAAAATCATGATGAAAAAAGAGCCTGGACAGTATCTTTCAGGAAATCATAAAGGAAAACTGCCCAGAAGTCCTAGAACCAGAAGGTAAAATAACCATAGAAAGAATACACTGCTCACCACCTGAAAGAGATCCCAAATTGACAACACCAAGGAATATAATAGCAAAATTACCAGATGAAAGAGAAGGTGCTGCAAGCAGTCAGAAAGAAACAATTTAAATATCATGGAACCACAGTTAGGATTACACAGGACCTTGCAGCTTCTACATTAAAAGACCGCAGAGTGGTAGCTAGGTGGTGCAGTGGATAGAGCACTGGCCCTGGATTCAGGAGGACCTGAGTTCAAATCTGGCCTCAGACACATAACACTTACTAGCTGTGTGACCCTGGGCAAGTCATTTAACCCCATTGCCTAGCCAAAAAAAAAAAGACCATAGGGCGTGGAACATGATATTCCATAAGGCAAAGGAGCTTGGATTGCAGCCAAGGATCAACTACCCTGCAAAAATGAGCATGATTTTTCAAGGGAGGAGATGGACATTCAATGAAATAGGGGACTTCCAAACCTTCCTGATAAAAAAACCAGAGCTCAACAAAAAATTTGATCTTCAAGTAAGTACAAGATGCAAGAAAGACATAAAAAGGTAAATGGGACAGAAAGATACAAAATGTTGTTAATAAGGGCAGGCTGTTTACATCCCTTACAAGGGAAGATGACACTTGCAACTCTTGAGAACTGTATTGTTATTACACCATGTTAAAGGAGTATACATAAAGAGGGTGGATATTAGTTGACTTTGATGTAATGATAAAAAAAATCTAATCAAGTGGGTTAAATGGATCCAAGTAAGTGGATTAGTTTGATCTTAGAAAATGTACTGAAAAAGGAGGAGGCAGACAAGGGTAAATTACATTACAGGAAAAGACAGAAAATCCCATTACAGCAGAGGGAAAGAAGGGAGGGGGGTGAGCATTGTTTGAACCTTACTCTCATCAGATTTGGCTCAAGAAGGGAATAACATAATCAGTTAGGTATAGAAATTTAACTTGCCCTATAGGCAGTAGAAGGGAAAAGGGGAAAGAAAAGGGAGGGAGGGTGGAAGGGAAGGAAGAAGCAGTAAGGGTAAAGGGGAAGAAAAGGGAAAGGGATAATAGAAGGGAGGAGAAACTGAAGGAGGCAGTGGTCAAAAGCAAAACACTAGTGGGGGAAGGAGAAAGGAGAAAGAAAAGCATAAACGGGGGGGAAAAGGATGGAGAAAAAGACACAGATAGTAATCATAACTGTGAATGTGAATGGGATGAACTCTCCCATAAAATGGAAGCGGATAGCAGAATGAATTAAAAACCATAATCCTATTGATAAACTTAACCCTTCTCAGCAATACAAGGATCTAAGACATCTCCAGAAGCCTCGTGATGAAAAATGCTATCCACATGCAAAGAAAGAACTATGGAAGTTGAATTGCTATCATTTTTTTTCTCTTCTGTTGAGTTTTGTTTCCTCTTTCTGATGGTTCCTCTTATTGGTTTTAATTTTTACTTACAACTTCACTAATGTGAAAATATGTTTAATAGGAATGCAAATGTATAGCCTATATGAGATTGTGCGCCATCTTGGGGAGGGTGGTAGGGAGGAAGGGGGAGAAAAATTTTAAACTCAAAAGCATATGGAAGTGATTGTTGATAAATCAAAATAAATTAATAAAATAAATTTTAAAAAAAGAAAAAGAAAAAAACCAGAAAGATTATTCAAGATCACACAAGTAGCAAAATGATTGGAAACAGGGAGCTTCCATCTTCATATTCAACGCTCTTTCCACCATACCCCACAGCTTCCTATAATCCATGACTGAAAGGAGAATTTCAGTTCCTAGAGAGGAAAGGCAAGCTCCTTTCTCCCTAAGGCAGCCCCCTTGGAGAGTCACCTAGCAGTCAGCTGAGATCAGGAAGGTAAGACAGACCAGGAAACCTCTTTAAGAAGAAACAGTCTGTTGGGGCATGCTAGATTTAGTCAGGAGAGACCTGGCTTTCAAAACGGAATTCAGACACTGGCTAGCTATGTGACCCTGGGCAAGCCACTTAACTCTTGTTTGCCTCAGTTTTCTTATCTGTAAAATGTGGATGATAATAGCATCTACCTCAAAGGGTTGTTTTGAGGATCAAATGATATAATCGTAAAACGCTTAACATAGTACCTGGAACATTTTTGTTGTTGTTCAGTAGTTTCAGTCCTTTTTCACTATCTGTGACCCCATTTGGGATTTTCTTGGCAAAGAAATGAGTGATTTGCCATTTCTTTCTCCGGTTCATTTTACTGTTGAGGAAACTTAGGCAAACAGGGTTAAGTGACTTGCCTAGGACCACACAGCTAGTAGGTCTCTGAGGCTAGATTTGAATTTAGGAAGATGAGTCTTCCGGACTACAGGTCCAGCATTCTATCCGCAAGCCGTCTAGCTACCCCACCTGGCACATATTATGTTCTAAATAAATACTAGCTACTATTACTAATACTACCACCACCACCACCTCCACCACTACTACTGCTATCATCCCCACCACTATTTCTTCTTCTTCTGCTGCTGCTGCTGCTGCTACAGTCCACAAGAAGAAAAGGGATGGGAACGAGCATTTATTAAGTGCCTACTGTGTGCCAGCCATGGTGCTGAGCACTTTACCGATATTATCCTTTACTACACTTGGTCTTGAGCTCGGCTTGTGCACACATTGGGTGCTGGGTGCACGGTAGATGCTGGAGAGGCACCTGCAGTGTCCTCGGGTTCCCCGGATCGCCTCCAATTTAGCCTGTCTACATTCTGCCTAAACGTGGTCTCCCACGTTGGACTGTGAGCTCCCTGAGGGCAGGGACTGTCTTTTGCCTTTGTATCCCTAGCGCTTAGGGCAATGCCTGCCACACAGTAGGCGTTAATAAATCAACAAATTAATAAATTTTTGTGGCCTTCCAACACAGCTTGTGCACATGTGTATTGGGGGAGGGGCTTTGGCTACAATTTCAGGGACTGCTAGGAAAAGGGAGGCATGAGGGGTCTCACCACCCAAAGAGCACAGGGGTGATTTGACCGCCCCGGCTTTGTGGTGCTCGAACCCTCAGCGGCACCTCCGTTTTTCCCAGCCGGCCGAAGCTGCCGGGTAAGAGGACCCTTCACCCCAGTTTAAACCTCCAGGGCAGGAAGAGATTTGGCAGCTTTAGTCGCGACACAACCTCCCCCTTCCTCTTGGAACCTAAGGGCTGGGAGGGGTCCTTAGGAGCGCATCCCATCTGAACCCCTCATTTGACAAAGGCGGTAAACTAAGACACGGGGAGTGAAGAGAAGATTTGCATTGCTAAAAAGGATAGAGCGCCCAGGGGATCGTGGCTACTCCCTTCCCTCGTCCCTCTAAGAGAATCCGGGGGGGGGGCTGCTGTGGACAGAGAGCAGGAAGCCCTCTGTAAAAGAAATCGCGAGCAGCCTCGCCTCCCTTCCCCCATCCCGTAACAGCCACGCCCGCACCCACTCCCAACACCAATCACCCTCCCGCGCCGTTCTGTCATTGCATATTCATGAGCTACCCAATCAAGGACCACTCTCAGCGCGGGCGCATTTGCTCCTCCCTCTCACCAGTTCCCCTTCTTCCCCGCCCCCCCTTTCCCACTAGCCTGGAGGGTGGAGAGAGGAGGAAGGGGGGGAAATATTTGCATATTCATGAGTTCCCACCCTATCTAAGTCTTTTGCGTATTCATCTTGCCTTGCTGCAAATATGCAGGTTATTGAGTTCCTAGCCAATCCCCACAACAGGTGCCTACCGTTAATGGGTTAATGGTGTAGCTTTTATAAATTGAGACAACCCCCCCCCACTGCCACTCACAGACAAGGCTAGGCCACATGTTCCCCTCAGTGTCTAGGGGTACCCTGAGTGGTCTCTAATGCAATAGAGATGTTACAACATTGGACCACCGCTTACAACGCTTGCATTCGCTCTGCGACCCGAAAACCAATACACGGAAGGTGGAGGAGATAGAAGGTAAAATTAATGAGCACTCAACTCAGCCCGTCAGTGAGTCGGAAACCTGCCGGGTTTCTTGCGCTCCACAATTCTCCCAGAGACAATCCAAGATGGGCTGATTGGGGTGCGTCTGGAGGAACGAAGGTGGAGAGAGGGGAAGAGGGGACATATGTTTTCATATTCATGAGAGTCCCACCAATCAGTGACCTGGGATCTTTCCTCCTTCCAACCCCCGGAGGAATGGATTGGAAGAAAGAAGGTGGATGGCTGGGGTTGTTCAAATTTGCATATTCATAAATCCCAGCCAATCAGGAGCCTGAGATTTTGTGGCCCGCCGCCTCTGCTCCCTAAGCTGAGCATCTTTAGTTTTCAACCCCAGCCCCAGCATCAGCACCGCCAGGTCCTAGTGGAGCAAGCTGTTCCAGCAAAAAGTCCCCAAGTGACAGGCAGAAGTCAGAGAAGTTTCATCTGTGACTCATTCCTGACACTTGTGAGCTACTTGTGCCCTGATCGATGTATCCCCAGCATTGGGGCTGCATATTCCTCCGCCCATCTCCTGACTCTGCAGGGCTAGTCAGGACTGCCCCTGTAGATGGATGGTGGCTCCACTGTAGGGTGGACTGCGGGTGGACTGGGAACACCCCCAAAGTGAAGAGAACACTGAACTTGTAATCCGAGGACTTGTGCTCAAATCCTGGTTCTGCCAAGTACTTCCGTGTGACCTTGGGCCAATCATTGAGCCTCAGTTTACTCATTTGTAAAATTAGGGCATTGGGCTGGGTAACTTCTTGCGGCTCAGACTCTGCCTTCTCCTACTGACAAGGTAATGCGATGGAGGCCCAACTCCTCGAAGTATATGAATTGGGACCTGAGTAGGTACCGTGGACGTATCTACCCCTTGGGGAAAAAGAAGCCTCGTGGTGGATCGTGTAGGGCACTAGTCCTGGGTCCTAGCCCAGGCTGAGCCTGGGTGACAGTGGGCAAATCCCTGCCCTGCCCTGCCTCTTTTTGGGGACCCTCTAGAAAATGGGGATGACCCATCCTGGACTCTTTCCCACTGCAATTGTATTGAGAGCGTCCATGGAAAGAATGGAGAAGCATCTAATAAATGAGGGTGGATTCGTATTATTATTATTATCATTATGTAGCTTCAAGCTCTCCTTAAAATCATCTTGGGATCCCATGGGACAGACTCCCACATTCTTTTCCCCACCACCACTAGCACCAACACACACACACACACACCCCAGGAACTTCAGAACCTTGTTCAAATCCTCTTCTTGGGACCCAATTTCCTTCTCCCAATGAAGCATTTAAAATATCTAGGACTGGGGCAGGTAGGTGGTGCAGTGTATAGAGCATCAGCCCTGGAGTCAAAACCGGAGTTCAAAACCCCACTCCCGGTCTAGAGTATAAAGGCTGAGAAAACTGAGGTCAGTCGAGAAGAAATGACTTACCCAAGGTCACACTAACTCTCCCCCATGCTCTGACTCCAATTCCAGCACACACTGGTATATAAAAATGGTCTCTAGATAACAGTTTTATTTCTTCCACGTGGCTCTAAATATGAAAATCAGATGTGATGATGAAACCCAAGTGAATACATCTAACTGTTATTTATAGACAAACAACTATTTCCCAAACAGAGCAGTTCATTTTGTTAAAGAAGTTTTCCTTTTAAACTACAGAACAAGCTCAGTTCTGTCACTTACTAGCCGTATGACTCTAGGCAAGACACCACCTCTGAGGGCCTCAGTTTCCTAACCTCTAGAAGCTTCTAGTAAGGAAAGAGAATGAACACAGAACAAGAGACCAGAGCCTGGATCTGCTACATGTAACCTCTTCGACCTCGGGGAATTCACTTAAAAATCTCTCTGAGCCCCAGTTTCCTCAAGTGTGAATTGTGGGTGGTCTGAGTCAGAGGTGACAAACACCCCCGGGGCTCATGGAGCACTCCAAAGTCCTGAGTACAGCCTGAACCAGATTGAAATGTAGTTCCTATCTTATTTTAATGTGTTGGTATATCACTGATGTATTGTTTGAAAAATGGTTTTCTAGGGCCAGCTAGGTGGTGCAGAGGACAGAGCACCAGCCCTGAAGTCAGGAGTACCTGAGTTCAAATGCAGCCTCAGACCAAACACTTGACACTTACTAGCTGTGTGACCCTGGGCAAGTCAGTTAACCCCAATTGCCTAAAAAACAAAAACAAAAAAACAAAAAAAAATGGTTTTCTACGTCTATATACGGCCTGCAGGGATCTTTATGTATGGTTTAGTGGACTGAATTTCTATGGTGGTCCAAATGACCTCTAAGGCCTCTTCTGCCTTTGCATTTTAGACTGTCCCTAATTTACAAAGTCAAAGGGAGAGCTGGAATCAGCACCTCGAAGGAAGGATTGGTGTGCCTCAGACAAGTACCACCAACTGAGCCTGGGGCGAGGAGCCAGAGGAATGCCCTCCATGTGCAGGGACAGAGGCCTTGTAAAGCCCACCATTACAGAAGACAGGGGGTACAGCAGCGGGCTGGAACTTCTTGTTTTAACTAATTATTCTTTCTATGTTGTTCTGGGAGGATGCGGGCTGCAAGGAGGGAGGATAGCATCTCAAGGTTTATTTGATAGTGTGGGTTTTTCTGGCAAATAAAACTTTGCCAAAGAGCTGATATTTGGAGAACACAGATGCAGAAACCAGCAAGTGCCTCGCTGCCCCCAGACTTGGGGAAGAAGGAAGAAGCAGGTGCCTAAGGTCAGATTCACATTTACAAACCCTCCATTTTTGTCCAGGTTCTCAGGAGCAAACGACCCCAAAGCTGCATCGTCTGGCTCTAGAAGTCAGGTACCCAGCAAGCGGAGGGGGGAGAAGAGCCCTGTCAGAAGGGAGTATGTGGTCTCTCCACCCTTCCTGTTCTCTCCCTCCAAACCAGAAAATAAACAAACTTTTTTTTTTAACAAGCAAGTTTTATTGATGCTTTTTGTTTGCAAAGCAGTCATTTCTTGGAATATGCAGCTCACTCCCAAATCAAACCCTCCCTTGTGATCAAGATGGTGTAGACTACCTCCTATCCCTGTCTTCTGCCTCTTTTTTCAAGAGGTAGGAAGCAATTAGCTGGGAGAGTGGGTAAATGGACTTAAGAGTTAAGGAGACCTGAAGTCAAAATCTGCTTCAGTAGCTAGGGCAAGTCACTGAACTTACCTCAGCCTCAATTTCCTCATCTGTAAAATGGGGATAGTAATAGTACCTACCTTCCAGGGTGGATAAGAGGATCCAATGAGAGAGAGAGAGAGAGAGAGAGAGAGAGAGAGAGAGAGAGAGTGTGTGTGTGTGTGTGTGTGTGTGTGTGTGTGTGTTTTGTGTGTGTGTGTGTGTAAAGTGCTATTATTATTAGTCTATTCTATTATCTATGTTCTGGGACCAACATTTTACGTTATAATTACTAGGGCTTCCTTTCACTGCTCTTTTCATGTGTGTGATTGCGGTCATTGTGATGATTGTTCTGGCTTTTTTCACTTTACATCACTTCATACAAATCTTCCCAAGCTTCTCTGAATTCCTCAGGTCGATAGGTTCTAACTGCCGCAGGCCTTGTTTTGGCAGAGGTTCTACAGCTCCCCCCTTTGCCCCGATTATTGCCTCGGAGACTTAGTGACCATCAGCAAGTGAGTAAACATTACCCAGAATCCCCAAAGGTCATGTGGCTTTTTGGCTGAAGAAACTTCCACAGAGAAGTGGTGACCCCAGGGAGAAGCAATGGGGGCTGACTGACAGAGTCTGGATGGAGTGTCTTTTGGGACTGCCCTCTGGACTGTTTAAGCATGGAGCTGAAGAATGGCTCAAGGCCATGAGATTGGAATAATAATAATATTAGCTAACATTTATATAGTGCCTACTATGTGCTCTGTACTATGCTAAGTACTTTACAAGTATTATCTCATTTGATCCTCACAACGACCCTGGGAGGTAGGTGCTATCATTATCTCCATTTTACAGATGGGGAAACCGAGGCAGGTGGATGTAAAATGATTTGCCCAAGATCACACAGCTGGTATGTATCTGAGGCTGGATTTGAAATCTGATCTTCCAGACTCCAGAGCTAGTACCACTTAGGTGCCCCTGGAAGACAAGAGGAGAACAACTCTACAGCAGAGGAGTTATCCAGACGATGGTGAAATGAAGATAGACTGGACCAGAGGAAGGGACTGAGGGGAGATAGGAGAGAGGATGGGGTCAGCAGACTTCACAAAGGTGCCCCTGGAAGACAAGAGGAGAACAACTCTACAGCAGAGGAGTTATCCAGACGATGGTGAAATGAAGATAGACTGGACCAGAGGAAGGGACTGAGGGGAGATAGGAGAGAGGATGGGGTCAGCAGACTTCACAAAGGTGCCCCTGGAAGACAAGAGGAGAACAACTCTACAGCAGAGGAGTTATCCAGACGATGGTGAAATGAAGATAGACTGGACCAGAGGAAGGGACCGAGGGGAGATAGGAGAGAGGATGGGGTCAGCAGACTTCACAACTCCAGTCCACAAGACCTCCCTTGTCGCTAGAAAAGGGAAGTCGCTTTCCACTTTAACAGGCCTCTACTCACATCCCAGTTCTCCACCAACCTGGGGCAAGCTGAGGTGTGGAAGGGAAGTAGCTATTGTCCTCTTTTAACTACAGCCAAAATAAGTAGCATTTATAAGTGTTAGTCCTTTATTTATTTATTTTTTGTGAGGCACTTGGGGTTAAGTGACCTGCCCAGAGTCACACAGCTAGTGAGTGTTATGTGTCTGAGGCCAGATTTGAACTCAGGTCCTCCTGACTCCAGGGACAGTGCTGTATCCACTGTGCCACCTAGCTGCTCCTCCTTTAGCTTTTAATTCTCTTTCTAGGTTATTTGAAGCTATTTTTTTAAAGGAAAACCTACATATTATTTAATATATTTGTCAGACTATGAAAGTACTGAGTAGAATTGAAAGAAGGAGGAAGTCCAACCCAACAAAGAGAGAAGATTATTTTCCCAGCTCAGGCTGGCTTGTTAGTGGAGCTGAAGAGAATTTTTACTATGACTAATTAATTAATAATTTGCCACAGACCAGGAGAATTCTTAACAATTTTTTATGTTCTGGAAACTTTTGGCATTCTGGTGAAGCCTAT